ATGAAAAACCCTCTAATTGATTTACAGTGTGTTAAAAATATACATAGGCTTGGAAGAAAAAAGAAAAATGATAGATAAAGTCCTTAAAAAAGAAATGTAGTCGGGTATGGTGATGCACACCTTTAGTCCCAGCACTTGGGAAGCAGAGGCAGGCCGTTATCTGTGAGTTAAAGGCTGAGCTGGTCTACAGAGTGAGTTTCAGGACAGCCAAAGGTACACAGAGATTCCCTGTCTCAAAAAACCAACATTTAAAAAGAAAATAGAGGTTTTTTTAAAGCCATGTGGAAAATACACAGAGAATCTGGATACTGTATGTTATTGTGTTGTCTTTCATGGCCGAGGAAAGAGTAACAGGTGCTAAAAACATTTGATTATAAATGCTGTTGGATTACTCCAACCTATATATTTTGAAAATTCCCTAACTTCAAATTTTAAGACAAAAGATATGTTATTTTGGAGAAGAGTTTTTTCTCATTTCTCACAAGAAATGAAAGGCTGTGGTTTCATTCTGGGTTAAGAGAAATCAGGTTTGATCAAGGAAGACCTCCTGCAAAATCTCCAATGGGAACAGATAGCCCAGCTGATACAACATTTTAGAACACCTCTGCTGCAGTTTCCTCCGAGTTCTACTTTCAGAACAGCTTCAAGGCTGCTGGCTGAGATGAGCAAGCCTCACAGAGTACTCCAGTCAGGACTTGACCAACATCCTAAATTTTCTTTGGGTTCCCCATAAGATTATTAGTGCTTTTAATCAGCAGGAAGTAGCCTAGAAAACTCTGCCCACATTTCCAAAGAATGGATTATGGATGTTTGTCTTTGTTTAGAGTGCTGGTTACAAATTTTTATGGATAATGGTCAGGAAAAAAGGTAAAGAAAGGATATTAGATTCAGCATTCTTGTTTTGAAAGGAAAAAGGGGGAAACTGGTGTGGGATAATGGTTTTGTACATTGTAAAGATGTGTCACTCATATTGGTCTAATAAAACACTGATTGGCCAGTAGCCAGGCAGAAAGTTTAGGCAGGAAGATCAGACTAGGAAAATTTTGGGAAGAGGAAAGGAGCGAAATGCAGTCATCAGCCAGACACAGAGGAAGCAAGGTAAGAATGCCTCCTGAGAGGAGCTACCAAGCCATGTTGCTAAACATAGATAAAAATTATGGATTAATTTAAGTTATAAGAGCTAGTTAACAATAAGCCAGAGCTAATAGACCAAACAGTTTGTAATTAATATACGCTTCTGTGTGTTTCTTTGGGACTGAATGGCTATAGGACTAGGCAAGACAGAACCTTCTGTCAACAGGAAAGCATTTAATTGAGCTGGCTTTCAGCTCCAGAGGTTTAGTCCATTTTCACTATGGCTGGAAGTATGGCAGCAATCCAGCAGATATGGTGCTAGAGAAGGAACTAAGAGTTCTACATCTAGATCAGTAGGCGACTGCGAGAGAGAGAGAGAGAGAGAGAGAGAGAGAGAGAGAGAGAGAGAGAGAGAGACTGGGCCTGTCTTGCACATTTGAAACCTCAAAGCCCAACCCCATGACACAATTCCTCCAGCATGAACACAACTGCTCTGAGTCCGTTCCTATTCAAACCATCACAGTCCACTCCCTGGCCCCATAAGCTTATAAGCTATATTTTAATGCAAAATGTGTTTAGTCCAACTTCAAAAGTCCACGTATCTATCACAGTCTAATCAGTGTTTAAAAGTCCAAAGTTCCTTCTTAGACTCACAACCAATCTCTTGACTATAATCCCCTGTAAAATCAAAAAGCAGATCACATACTCCCACCATGCATTGTCACAGAACATATATTACTCTGGAAAGGGAGGATAACGAGAAATACCAGACTAAAGCAGAATGAAAACCAGCTGGGCAAACTCTGCATCTCTGTGTCTGATGTCAAAACACTCTCCAGATCTCTATCTCCTTTCAGCTTTGCTTATTGCATCTCACTTCTCCCTATTGGCCTGGTTCCACCCCTCTTAGCAGCTCTCCTTAGCAGCTCTCCTTAGCAGCTCTCCTTAGCAGGTCTCCCATGGCTCTGGCATCTCCAACATCTCATGGTCTCCAGTGATGTCCAGGCATCCCCTTTATAGCTTCATGCAAAGGCCTCTCGGGGCCAGCATGCGGAGACACCCCTGACACACACTTCCTGGTGTTCCTTTTCTCCTCTTGGGGCCAGCATGCAGAGACACCTCTGACACACACCTCCTGGTGTTCCTTTTCTCCTCTTGGGGCCAGCATGCAGAGACACCCCTGACACACACCTCCTGGTATTCCTTTTCTCCTCTTGGGGCCAGCATGCAGAGACACCCCTGACACACACCTCCTGGTGTTCCTTTTCTCCTCCAACTGTACTCTTAGTCAACATGATGTTCAGACAGAAACCTCCATCCTTCCAGGTATTTCCTAGAAAGTTTACAACTCCATGTAAATGTTGGTGCCCTCAGCCCACAAAGCACAAGCAGTCGGGTTTTCTGTCATGCCACATCTGACTTCTACAGAGCCCCTCTGCTTAGAGACTCCAGATATTCCCCCAGCTTGCCACTCCTGGGGAAATTATGTCTGTCAGCAAGAGAAACCAAAGGTAGATGCCAAAAAGGGCATGTCTGCTGATGTAAAATTTCCCAGAAGCCCCAGCAGGGGAGCAGAATCGATAATGAGAGGTGATGGGACTGTCCCAGGTTCAAGTCTGCAGAAATAGACAGCAGACTCAGGAAGCAGCAGATCCCAGGCTCTCCGTTTCTGACATGGCCTTCATCTTCCATATAAGAGTACATAGTCTACAGGGGACCAATGTTCCCACGTCACCTAGCTTTTGTGACAAGCTCATTTGTTCCTTGTCAGGTTGAAGCTGGTCCCTTTGCTGCATTACTTCCTGGGGAGCCTCTGTTTGCATTCACTCCAGATGAAGAGCAAATGATAGACCAAAGAAATGATTACATCAAAGTCCATCTTGGTGAATCAGGGGGTTTACTGGGCTTACCTACAGAAGCGGGGGTGAGAGGTAACTTTCAGAAGCATGCGTAGCTAAAACAGGTGCCTCACAGAACCATCCCACCTCTAAAATGGGTAGCAACTGTTGTGGGATATTTGTACACTGTATGAAGATATATTGCTGCGATTGGTTTAATAAAGAGTTGAGCAGCTAATAGCCAGGCAGGAGGCATAGGCAGGACTTTTGGGCAGAGAGGAAGTAGGAAGAGGAATCTAGGCATACAGGAGAGGTAACAGGAGGTGGAGAACAAGCAAGCCATGCAGGAGGACACAGACTTGTTACAGGCAACTGTGGTAACCATACCACCAGATCTCCTCCCAGCAGCTGTTTACTGCCTAAACAACCTTGAGGGGCAGCCCCTGGCAGCTTCCTTCTGTGATTTACCATAGACTTCCCTACTTACCCACCTTCACGTCCACTCCTTCCTGGAAAATGCTCTTCTCCACCTCACACTTGGAGCATCTCAGTGCTACTTCCAGGTGTCTACCTATTCGCCCTTCTCAGCAGTTTGCTTTGTGGACATTTCTCACTGTGTAGCCTTAGCTGGCCTGGAATTCACTGTATGAAACAGGTTGATCTGAAACTCACAGAGATTTGCCTGCCTCTGACTCCCAAGTGCTGAGAATAAAGTTGTTCACCACCGTGCCTGGCCTGAGAAGTTCACCAGGGATTCTGTGATTCAGCCGGTGAAACACAGGGTTTTTATGATATCTGCAGGGCAGTTCCCTCGACTGTCCATTAGGTCATTCTCATGGAGCACAAAGATGGAGAGACATCAGCGTCCCCTTCTGATTGGCCCTTGTGCTTCAGCACCTCTACAGACAAGGGCTCCATCTGTCTGGTGGACTGGCTGTGGTTCTGGCTGCAAGACAGATGGGCACTATGCCTCTGGGGGAGTAAGGTGGTGCCTGGGCTGCAATGAGTGGGCGTGGCTATAGATGGTGTGCCCAGATGTAGCAGACAGATGAGTAGAAATTGATACTTCCATTATATTACCTTTTAATACTTTCTTATAACTTTGACATATTGTGACAGGTGGCGGAACCTATTCTTTGGGCATAAAACTCTGGTCACAAGAGCACCGCTTCTATAGTCTGTTCTCAAGATGATCAAGGTCATCTAGGCAGTCAAGTGTGACCGCATATCCCTCCCATCCCTCCCTAGGGAGACAGAGGCAGGAGTACCACAGCAAGTTCGAGGCCAGCCTGAAGAATTTCAACCTGAAGATGCTGCGATAATCTTTCATTGTATTCGAATATTCTAGTTTGGATTTGGACCTATTGGATTCGGTCAACCTAGCATACTGGATGCTTTCACTACCAACTGGTCTTTCCCATTCATCATTATTTCCCTTCCACCCAGCTCTATGCTATTTTCTATATATGTAAAACACACAACAAATAGCTAATAACCAGTTAAAAAGCCTACTAATTGACAACAGATCTCTCCACCTCTGGCAACCATTAAATGCCCCAGTATCGCATTCATTTCAGATCCTCACCTTCTAAGATTCAATATGACTTCAATTTCCATTTTCCAACAACCCTGCCTAGTTCTCTCTCTCTCTCTCTCTCTCTCTCTCTCTCTCCTTTTAATTTAGAGAAAAAAGAAACCTTTGAGTCCCCGAGAAAATACAGAAAAATGGTATTTTAATAATATGCAATGTCACGGTCTCTTAGAAATAGATGATATATACAGACCCGTAGGAAACAAACCCCCTGGCCATGTGTGATAGCCTCGGACTTTCATTGTGTCACAGTCCACAAGCCTTGCCTGGCTGTACGGAACGAACGTACTGTGATGGTGGTCTCAATATCATTGGATTGTGGGAGTGGCCATGACAGCTACTAACGAAACAGAAACTACTTGATGTTCCAAGAGGAGTATTGGCAAGATGTACCTTCACAAGTGGTGGTGCGCATGCGCTGCGCCATCCTCCTGGGAAAGCCTGGGAACATTGATTCACAGTAAACGGAAGTGGTCTGAAGCGGTCACATCCGCTTAAATCTTGACGCTGATCGGTTCTGTTATTTTGCCAGGATAGCACGGGAGTTTGGATTCTGAACACCGAGCTTCCGTGGGTTGAAGTCGCGGGACACCGGCGTCGGTGAGCAGCTGAATGGGCGAGCCAAGGAGGACTCGCTGGTGAGTGTTGGTTTGTGCTGAGTGACAGCTGACGGGGCTGCAGAGGATGCTGTAGTTGAGCTGGGGAGGGAGTCCTGCGGGAGTCGGGAGAGCAGGGATGCTGAGGGAGGCCACGGGTGTCTGGGGGCGATCGCGCTGCTTTCGCGCCAAACTGTGTGGCCTGCAAGAAGAGAAAAAGTAGATTTAAAATGGAAAATGAACTTCTTCGTGGTTTGGGCTCAGTTTGAAGACCAGCCATTCTCGGTCAGTCAGTCGCTTCTCCCAGCAGGGCTAGTACTAAGAACACCCGAAAGGAAAGCCAGGGCATATGCATATGCACGCTTAGCAGGGGGCACAGTCACCAGAGCTGGGAGGTGAGGAGCCTTTTTTACCGGCAGCAGTGCTTCTAGGACAGGACCATTTCATTCCTGGCAGACCATCTCCTGTAGGAAGCTTGAGATGCAAAAACAAACCTAAAAGGCAAATCGTAGTTCCTGAGTTCACTTTACAGAGGGCTGGGGTCCTTTGCAGATGAGGTGGGTCAATGCTGACCTCTGCTGGGGACCATGTGGCCACGGTAAGGGTCGGTGTTGGCATTTGAGTCCTTATGGGGAATGTTCTTTGGGCTGCAGAGTTTATTGAAGGTTCTCTGGAAACCTGTGAATAGACGTCTCTGGCTAGTTCTTGGCTGTCAAAGTAGTAATGGTCTGTGGACCTGCGCATGCCCATGTTTAACTCGGTGCTCCTCTGGTCCTCTGGTTGGAGGTCACTGAAAGTCCAGGATGTACATCCTCTTCACCATGAAGACATTGTGGACAGGGGCCTGTGGCCTGGTGTTTATGTGGAGGGTTTCCAAGTCAGGGAAGGGATTGGGCCTCTGAATTCAAGGGAAGAGAATGGGATGTTGGTCAGTAGATGTCCACAAAAATGTCTAGAAATGCAGAAAGAACCAGAAGAGGCCATTACCCCCCACATCGCATCCCATCTCTGCTCTCAGAAGGCAGGATGAAGCAGATAGGTTTCTGGGCGCTGAGCACACGAGTAACTGTGATAATGGGGACTGTGTGTGGTTTGGTGTAGGGAAGAGATGAGACTGGTCCCCAGTCTGTCTTTTGGGGTGCATTATAGAACAGCACGTAGCCTTATTTGTAGTGTCTGAGGGAAATGGTTATACTGATGCTTATGAAATGGTTAAAAGAGTTCTGTGAAGGCTGGAGAGATGGCTCAGAGGTTAAGAGTACTGGCTGCTCTTTCAGAGGTCCCAAGTTCACTTCCCAGCAACCACATGGTGGCTCACAACAATCTATGAGATCTGGTGCCCTCTTCTGGTGGGCAGGCATACATGCAGACAGAACATTGATATATAATGAATAAATAAATTTAAAAAAGAGTTCTGTGAGTGTTGGGAGCAGAGGCAGGTGGAACTCTGTGAGTTCAAGGTCAGCCTCGTCTACATAGAAAGCCCCAAGCAAGCAAGAGCTACATAGTGAGACCACGTCTCAAAAATGCTGAGCATTGGGGCAGCCTGCATGAACAGCTTGACAAAGGCCAGAAGGAGCAGCCTGGCAGCTTGCTCGTTTTTGTGTGTATTTATAAGCAGGTGCCGAGAGTGGGCTGAGCTTCAGGTGAGTTCAGGTCCCCAGTGCTCACAGTTCACACCTGCACCCTCACTTCAGAAACAACTAGGTTACTACCTCCTCCTCTCACAGTTAAAAACTGGGAACTTCGGTGAAGTGTTCCTTAACTTCAGTCCTAACTATGGTGTTGGGTGTTTACTTCAGGGGATGGGAGTTGTTTGGGATTTTGGCGTGTGTGTGATTGTGTGTAATGTTTGTACGTGGATGTGGGTATAGGTACGTATGTCTGTCAGTGCACATGCTCTGAGGCCAGAGTAAGCTACTGAGTGTCCGGCTCCATCACTTCCGGCCTTATTCCCTTGAGTGTCTCTCACTGAACCTGGAGCTAGGCTGATAGCCAGGGAACCCAGAGACAATCCTCTGTTTGTCCCACACAGTGCTGGAGTTACAGACATTTGTGGACATGCCTGCCTTCTTCAAGTTGCTGGGGATTTGAACTCAGGTCCTCATGATGGTGCCACCAGCTCTCTTACGCACAGCACCATCTCCCCAGGGTCATCACCCTGGTCAGTACCAGGAAGGCTCTTCTGAGCTTTGTCTGTTACCGTGTCTATCCTGGGACTGGCTTGGGTCCTCAGAGACCCATGTGTGGCATGTGTTAGCTGGCGACACAAGATCATTCCCTCCCTGGGGCTTTCTGCTGTCTTTACACCTAAGTCAGACCACGTCATCCAGGCTATGGGATTTTCTGCCCCACCTCAGCTGCCTCCTGGGGACCTCCAGACACTCACGCAGCTTCCAGTTCCTGAGAAAATCAGATCTGCCAGCAAAGAGACCAAGGAGAGAAACATGCCTGCTGACATGAATTTGTCTCAGAAGCCCCAGAGACTGAACCCACATGAGCAGGATGGGTCAAGCGAGGTAAGCAGCAGCTGCCTGGAGTCCAGTTCTCTGAGACTGGAGGACAGACATGGGAAGTATCAGGTCCTGGCCCCCAGTCCGATACAGACTTGCTGCTCCAGCTGAGAGCAGAGCACGGGGGCCAATGCCCTGCACCTCCCGGTCTTTCATGTCACTCACTGTCCTGCCTGTGGGTGCTTAGATTTAGATGTAGCCCTCAAGCCTGCATCCCAGTTCCAGAGTCCCCAATCCTTATCTTCCTGCACCAGTTCATAGCCACTGTCGTTTTGTGAATATCTTGAAGGAGTTTGTTTGATGTGGGTGCATGGCAGGTAAGTCTTGGAGACCATGAGTGTCTGATGATGCCTAGCCACAAATCAAAATTCAGCTGATTACTTCCCTAGCAGTGGGGGGCCTGGGAGAACGCAGTGGTAAAGAGACAGACTAAAGTCTCGTTCGGTATCCATGAGTTGTCTCTGGTTCACGGATGGACTGTTTACATGCAACGATGTTGGAGATATTCTGACATGTGAGTTTCTGAATTAACGAGGATTCCCAAAGCTAAAATGTAGCAAGCAGCGCAGTTGATTCTGTGCAAAGTCTTCAGCCTCTGGGTGTTCCTTCTTTGTCTGATTGTCAACTTCCCTTGGCAGTTCACCGCTCTGTGAACTCAAGTGTCAGGCTGCTTATTCCTCTTTGAAGTATTCAGGACAACCCATTTCTGGCTGCTTTGTGGAAGAGAAATATGCGTGTACAAGAGATGGAAGATTATTTTTACTAACTTTTTTGACTTCTGAAATATTCAAATAATACACACACACACACACACATATATATATATATATTATTCATATAATATGAAATAGCTGTTTTCTGGAAAGACTAATGATATGTCTCAGTAAAGGATCCCTGAACCGCATTGTTATGTGTAATGTGATAACTAACTCAAAATGAACCGCACTTTGCTCTTACAGAGATTGGTGTCCTTTGAGGATGTGACTGTGGACTTCAGCCAGGAGGAGTGGAGGCGCCTGGACTTCGCCCAGCGATGCCTGTACCAGGACGTGATGCTGGAGATCTACAGCCACCTCTTGGCAGTGGGTGAGCACAGCCACCTGGGGATCCAGGATGGGCTTCATTGAAAGTATTTTCCCCTTCTTTTTGTAGAACGTGATGGGGTATCAAAAGTGTGTCAAGGCTTTCCCCTATGGTTTGTCCTGATAATTCATTACTTTTAAACATGCTAAGTTATTGTTCTGTGCCCACTACAGAATGTTGATTTTTTTCCAACCAGCCAGTGTCCTCCAAAGCCTAAAAGCCACACACTGAGCAAATATTCTTCCAACTTACAGGGTACCCCATTCCCAGCTCCGGGGCCATCTTCAGGAAAAAGAAAAGAAAGGAGGCATGGATGGGAGAGGCTAAGTTCCCACTTCAGCAGAGTCGGTGTCGAGGTAAGTGACCTGGATGGAGGTCGATGTCATTGGTGTCCCTTGTCATCCATCCTCACTGTCCATCCCCTAGTGGTGGCCCCTCGTTTGCTTGCCGCTCTCACTCTCTAAGCTTCTGGTGCAGCCCATGAGATGGACCACAGCAGTGGGTGCCAAGCCTGCCTCCCACTCCAGCTCTCTACAGCCAACGCTGCAATACTTTGTGAATATGGATAAGGCTCTCAGGGGTGAGCAGTGGGTATGAACTGCCTCATCATAGAGATTACCTAAGTTAACTAACACAGCCATATTTTCCAGAAGGTCTACACGTAGATTTGTGTTTGTACACCTTGTCTACAAACAATGACAAAAAAAATATGAGGGAAACTTAGTGGTGGTTGATGATATAGATAAATGAATTGGTGGATCAACGTGTTGGGTAAATGTGTTCGTTAGGAAGGAAATTGATCTTTTGTTTTTGTGTTAACCATGGTTAGGGCTGGGGATGTGTAGTTCAGTGGTAGAGCGCCAGCCTAGCAGGCACAGAGCCTTGGGTTCATTCCGCAGTGTGATAGAAGTATAGACAGACAGACAGACAGCTGTGTCAACACTGATAAGATACATTAGTGAGGTATAAAGCTTTTAGCGTAGGTGGCGATAATTTGCATTGGATATGTTTTCAGTTGGCTTCATTGTCATCTTCTTATAAAGCTGTCACTAGTGTTTTCCTCTCCTGCTCCTTTCCCCACCGACCTCCTCCAGTCGCCTCGTGCTGGCTCCTTTCCTTGCCACAAATGTCACCTATGCCCCACTACTCTTTCTTCCTCCTTCCTCCCTTCAGATGCCTTCTCCTTTCGCAGTACTTTTTCTACTTTCACTGTTTACACACAATACATGTGGAGATACCTGTGTGTACACACACGGAAATTAAACTCTGGAGTCTACAGGTAAGAGAAGATGTGGTCTTTGTCTGAGTCTCTCTTGATTCATCCAATGTAATGATCTCAGGTTCCATACGTTTTGCTACAGTTTCCATGATTTCTTTTTTCTTTACGACTAACTAAAATCCCATTGTTTATATATTCTACATTTTCTTAATACATTCATCTGTTGAAAGACGTCCGGTTCCATTTCTTAGTGCAGCCATAACTATGGCTGTGCAAGTGTGTCTGCGGATGTTGATGCAGAGTACTTCAGGATGTGTGCAGGTCTAGCTGGGTCATAGGGCAGTTCTATTTGTAGTTCTTTGAGGACCTTCTGCTAGCTTCTTTAGTGACTTTCCGTGTCCTGCAGCAGTGGGCAGGGTTTTCCGTGTCCCGCAGCAGCGGGCAGGGGTTTCAGTGTCCCGCAGCAGTGGGCAGGAAACCCGCAGCAGTGAGCAGGGGTTTCTGTGCCCCGCAGCAGTGAGCAGGGGTTTCTGTGTCCTGCAGCAGTGGGCAGGGGTGTCCGTGTCCCGCAGCAGTGGGCAGGAAACCACAACAGTGGGCAGGGGTTTCCATGTCCCGCAGCAGTGGGCAGGGGTGTCCGTGTCCCGCAGCAGTGAGCAGGGGGTTTCCATGTCCCGCAGCAGTGGGCAGGGGTGTCCGTGCCCCGCAGCAGTGAGCAGGAAACCCGTAGCAATGGGCAGGGCTGTATCTTTCCTTGAATGTATTTGTTATCTGTTCATTTGGTAACAGTCATTCTGACTGGGGTGAGCTAGAATATGAAAGAAGTTTTAATTTGAATTTCCCTGATCACTATGAATATTGGATACTTTTTCAAATACTTATTGGCCATTTGTATGCCTTTTAAGAAGCATTCATTAAATATATATTCATTATATGGTGTTTTGGGCATTTGATTCTTTTATAGTTCTCCGTATAGTCTATATATTAGTGTAAGTTAGAAAGACTTTTCCCCAGTACATAAGGCTGTCTCTTCATCCTAGTGATTGTCTCTTTTGCTGTGCAGGTTTCTATTTTTATATAATCATATTTATCAATTCACAGGATTTTTTCCTGTACTATTGCCTTTTTTTCCTACAAGTCCTAACCCATGACTGCATCTTTTATTTATTTATTAAAGATTTCTGCCTCCTCTCCGCCACTGCCTCCCATTCCCCTCCCCCAATAAAGCCCCCCTCCCTCATCAGCCCAAAGAACAATCAGGGTTCCCTGCCCCGTGGGAAGTCCAAGGACCACCCACCTCCATCCAGGTCTAGTAAGGTGAGCATCCAAACAGCCTAGGCTCCCACAAAGCCAGTACATGCAGTAGGATCAAAAACCCATTGCCATTGTTCTTGAGTTCTCAGTAGTCCTCATTGTCCGCTATGTTCAGCAAGTCCGGTTTTATCCCATGCTTTTTCAGACCAGGCCAGCTGGCCTTGGTGAGTTCCCGATAGAACATCCCCATTGTCTCAGTGTGTGGGTGCACCCCTCGCGGTCCTGAGTTCCTTGCTCGTGCTCTCTCTCCTTCTGCTCCTGATTTGAACCTTGAGATTTCAGTCTGGTGCTCCAATGTGGGTCTCTGTCTCCTTTGGCATCCTCCTGAATATTAACCTTCATCAGGCCATGCCTGCATCTTTAAGAGTTTTGTATCTGTCTCCCTTTAGCAGTTTCAGGCTTTCATACATTACAGTAAGATCTTCAGTCTGCTAAAAGTTGTTAACCATTTATTCTAAATTTTCCAGGTTTTTTAATGTAAGATTTCCCAGTGTGTTTTGTGTGTGTGTTTGGAATCAGTTGAAATAGCCTCTTGTTCATTTCTAATTTTATTGAGACTTCTCTCTGTGTCAGTTTAGCTAGAGGGTTTTTTTTTTGTATGTGTAGGTGTTTTGCCCACACATAGGTATATGCACTATCTGTGTGCAGTGCCCACAGAGGCCAGAAGATGGCATCTAATCCCCTAGGACTAGTGTTACAAAGAGCTGTGAGCCGCCATGTGGGTGCCGGGAACTGAACCTGGGTTCTCTGGAAGAGCAGTCAGTGGTCTTAACAGCTGAGCCATCTTTTGAGCCCCAACCTCATTTATCAATTTGTTTCCTTCTGTGTATTGTTCTGTTAATTTCCATTTCATTAATTGCTGCCTTGATCTTTATCTTTATCTTTCCATCTACTACTTTGGATTTTGCCTTTTTCTTCATTTTCTAAGATCTTTAGTTGCATCATTAGGTTGAACTCTCTCTTCTTTCTTTAATGCATATACCTCAGATATCAACTTTGTCTTAGAACTGTCATTAGCTGTATCCAAAGAGTGCAGAAATGATTTAATATCCTCCCTGCTTTCTTTGAGACTCGCTGTTCTATGTCCATGTATCGTGCAGTTTCTCTTATTGTTGGTGTCTATTTTATTCCATTATGGTCTTTTAAGATACCAGAAGTTGTCTCAAATTTTTCGTATTGTTCAGAGTTGCTTTGTAACCTAGCATGTGGTCTGTTCTTTGAGGAACTTCTATGGGAATATTGTACAGACTATGCCATGGACAATAGTTTGTAGATATCCCTTAGATGTGTTTGGTCGGTGTTGTGGGATTTCCTTGTTTAGATTTATTTTTGTGTGCATGTGTGTGTATCTGTGTAAACACATGCCACATGTATGGGGGTTTCCACAGAGTTCAGAAGAGGATGTTGGACCCCTGGAGCTGGAGTTAACAGGACTTTGTGAGCTGCCTCATGTAGGTACTGGAAACTAAACTCCGTTCTTTGAAAAAGCAGCAGATGCTTTAAACTGCTCTCACATCACAGTGTGAGACTGGAAAAGTAGGGAGAGGCTACTATATATGTAAATGATGTTAGAAAAGAAAAGCTTTCTGATCTTAGTTGTAGCTCAAGGAGAGAGTGCTTTCCGAGATGGAGTAAGACAGAGAGCTGGGGGCATGACTGTATGAGTACTTAACCTGATGAAAATACGGGCAAAAGGCACAAGTGTGCCGCTTCTTACCCTCCAAGCTCTGGGTGTCTAGGTACCCTATATAAATTAATGTGCTGTTTTTGTCGAGTCTTCCCTACAAATATTTAAAGCCACATTTACCACGGACTCCAGTATTCATATTAGTATTTCTTCATCTGTAAAACAGGCAGAGTAGGTAGAATTGCCTTAGAGGGTGGTTTGGGGACAAAATGAGTCTGTTTCCATCATAGAGAAAGAAAGCTGCCTGTCTGGCAAGTCTGTACCTAATGTTTGGCTTATCGTAAGGGATGTGGTTGTGTTCTACTCAATGTCAGCAGACCTCACTGTTATTAGCTCTGTGTGATTCCTCACGCTTCCTGTTTGTTACGCCTGTTCTCTCATCTCTTTTCTTCTTCCAGAGGTTTCCGCCCCTCGACCAAGAGTTTCTGAGACTGAAGCATTTCAAACGAGTAAGGCGAGTGAAATCACAAGACATGCCCTGTGGTGTTCTATCATAGGACTGTGGCAAGATCCAGACCCTACAAAAAGAAATCGGCAAAGCCGGAAACCACCTTGGAGTGCCGGTGCTCTCCTCAGCAAGAAAGCACAGAGCACAGACAGAGGCTGTGGATGGAAAGAGCCTGTAGAAGCCACTCCTTTGGTGTCCAGCCTCATCTCCACACAAAAGGGAGCCCCAGAGGGACCCACAAACAGTGAGAGGCATAACCTGGAGGCAAAGAGTGAAAACCAAAGCAATATCACTAAACAGCTTAAAGATGTTGTTACCTCTGGTCAGCTCTTCATGGGAGACTCTTCTAATGCTAACCACACAGTTCCTCACGAAGGCCAGAATTCACACAAAGGTAACGAGTGCAGGAAAGTTCTCACCCGTAAACACACACTGAGACAGCAACAAGGGCATCCTCAGGAGAAACCAGACGGATGCCCTGAATGTGGAAAGGTCATCTATGACATGGCTGCTTTCAGTGAACATCAGGCAACTCACGCTGGAGAAAAGCGTTTCGACTTTCACAAGTGTGGGAAAGCCTTCCTGCAGAAGTCAGAGTTGACCTCCCATCGAGAAACTCACGTAGAGAAACCTTATGAGTGCTCCGACTGTGGGAAATCATTCAGTCGTACCTCCAACCTGCAGGTTCATCATCGAATTCACACTGGAGAGAAGCCTTATGAGTGCCGCGACTGTGGGAAGTCCTTCAACAGTACATCCCAACTGAAGGTGCATTATCGAATACACACCGGGGAGAGACCTTACGTGTGCTCTGTATGTGGGAAAGCCTTCAAGCAGAAGTCAATCCTCAGCACTCACGAGACCATTCACACCGGGGAGAAGCCTTACGAGTGTACTGTCTGTGGGAAATTGTTTAGCTGTACGTCCCGACTGAAAGTCCACTATCAGATCCACAGGAAGGAGAAACCGTATGAATGTGCTGACTGTGGGAAAGCCTTCAAGGGCAAGTCAAGTCTCACTGCCCACCAGAAGATACACATTAGACAAACCCAGCATGTATGCCGTGAGTGTGGGAAAGCGTTCAGTCAGAAGTCAGAGCTCAGCACGCACCAGAGAGTCCACCTGGGCCAGCGTTCTCACAGATGCGACGCCTGTGGGAAGGCGTTTACTTACGTATCGCAGCTGAAGATGCACCATCGAGTCCACACAGGGGAGAAGCCTTACGAGTGCCGCGACTGTGGGAAGTCATTTACTTACTCGTTCACACTGAATGTGCATTGTCGCATTCACAGAGTGGAGAAAGCTCACAAATGCGCTGTCTGTGGGAAAGCCTTGGCTTCTAAGTACCAACTCGAAGAGCATGAGCGGATTCACACAGGAGAGAAGCCGTACGTGTGCACCGCGTGTGGAAAAGGTTTCCATGGTAGGTCGGGTTTCCTGAGGCATCAGATAACTCACACCAGGGACAAGCCTTTCGTCTGTCCCAAGTGTGGGAAGGCCTTCTTTCAGCGCTCACAGCTGGCGTCTCATCAGCAGACACACACAGGAGAGAAACCCCACGAATGCCGTTACTGTGGGAAACCCTTCAGTCATACGTCCCAACTGACAGTGCATCATCGAATTCACACGGGGGAGAGACCTTACAAATGCAGCCACTGTGGGAAGTCATTCAGTAATTCCTCCCAACTGAAAGAGCATCTCCGCATTCACACCGGGGAGACACCGTATGCGTGTTCTGAATGTGGGAAGGCCTTCAGCCGGAGGTCATCCCTCAATCTGCACACGAAAATTCACACTGGAGAAAAGCACCATGTATGTAGTGTGTGCGGGAAAGCCTTTAGTCAGAAGTCGGTCCTTCGAACACATCAGAGAATTCACACCGGAGAGAAGCCTTACAAATGCTGTGACTGTGGGAAAGCCTTGGCTTCAAAGGGCCAACTCCGAGATCACCAGAGAATTCACACAGGCGAGAAGCCCTACGTTTGCACTGAATGTGGGAAGGGTTTCTTTGGCAGGTCATCTTTGCATAGACATCAGATAACTCACACTAAGGAGAGACCTTTCATCTGTCAAAAATGTGGGAAAACCTTCATCCAGAAATCAGCATTGGTATCCCATCAGCAAATTCACACAGGCGAGAAACCCTACGTGTGCCCTGAGTGTGGCAAGGGCTTCTACAATAGGTCCTCTTTGCCCAGACACCAGATGACTCACACCAGGGGGAGATCTTTTATCTGTCAACAGTGCGGGAAGGCATTCCTGCAGAAGTCCGTGTTGAAATGCCATCAGCGAACACACACCCACAAGAAGCCGTAGGAATGCCATGGGAAACTATTCCATAGCACATGGCCCTGAAGGCCATCGTCATATCCTCAGGGCAATGCAGAGAGGACGAGAAGTCATCCAGCATCAGCACAATGCTCGTGCAGCATTGGATTCCCACTGGGGGAAGACACTGTTGTATTCCGAAAGAGGGAGACCTTCAGCAACGTGTAGATAGCAATAAACACCAAGCAGCTCACACCAGACATGGTTCTCACAGGCTCGGTTTAGATGTGAAATCCTTCTCCAAGAAATCAGTTCGTAGTCTCTGTTTCCACCTGAGGTATAATCCTTAAATTACTTGAAGAAAATGTTTTAAAAGAACGTATTGTACGTTATATCTTCTCTGCGTTAAATTATCTCAATATGCACTGCTTTCTTGAACTCATTATTCATGAGAGACATTTGTAGTATGATTATGGGTTTCACCCTAGGGGGAAACCCTGAAGCCATGGACTGAGAAAAAGTTTCTCTATAGAAAATGGCAAAAGCCACATTGTTTCCAGACTATAAAAAAGTTTGGGGGATTTTGTATCAGCAATATTCCTGTTAATTGTTAGATAGTAATATTTCTATAATGCAAGAAAGGAAAGGACAAGATGGTGTTATTTCTCAAAAGTATGTCTAATGTGTATGTGTGGTTGCACTTTCCAATGTTTACATACGTACTGCCTTAGACTGGTGGGGCTTGACACAGAATTTGTTGCCTAACAGGAGTTTCTTTTTTAAGAGTCTAATGTGTGTTGACAGCCAATCCCTTATTCATACCACTATCAATAATTAATAATAATTAATTCATCTTTTCATCATATGAAAGTAACTTTTGAGGTAAACCCATTAGTGAAATTCTATAGCATTCACTTCTTGTACTGTAACTTTTCTCTTTTGTGAGTAGCTCAGCTTATCTTTTCTCCACGTGTCCCATCCGTAGTGAGCTACGCAGAAAAAAACAGCCATTTGTTAGAGAATCAACGAAGACTTCTTCATAGTTTTGTGCAGGCTTCTAATGCACACAAGAAGACAGTAAATGGTGTGTGTGTGTGTGTGTGTGCGCACACATTAGTGTCAAGGCACATGTGTGAAAGATAAAAAACAATCTATTGGAGTTGGTTCCTTATTAACAGCATGCAGGTCCCCAAAACAGAACTCAGGTAAGTCATCAGCCATGGCAACATGTCCCGTTAGCCACTGAGCAAGCTCATGCTCATGCCTGCCTATGGATTTCTTTTTTCCTTCTTTCTTTCTTTCTTTCTTTCTTTCTTTCTTTCTTTTTGAGTCAGAGTCTTACTATGTAACCTTGGCAGAACTGGGGCTTACCAGGCTGGTCCTGAACTCACAGACTCACCTGCTGCTGCCCTCCAAGTGCCGGGACTAAAGGCGTGCACCACCATGCCTGCTTGAATTTTTGAAATGAAGTTGTATGCAGCATAGCCACGCTCGTTTGCGTATATCCTGGTTGTGGTTTGTTGTTCCCCTGTAGCACTGAGTAATTGTGGGAGAGACCATGGGGTCCCCGACCTACGAATGTTTTCTTTCTGGCACTTGACAGGATGTATTTGCCGGGGTGAGACACATACATGAGCATTCACATAATCCTTTGTTTTATAAAAAGCAAACCACATCTGTATGGATATTGGTTTTCTACTCTAAAATACATACCTTCATTGGCAGTGTGGTATTCTATGAAGTTGAAATGCCATAATCCAGAGCCAAGTGTGATGGCGCATGCCTTTAATCTCAGCACTCAGGAGGCAGAGGCAGGCAGAACTCTTGAGTTCGAGGCCAGCCTGGTCTACATAATGAGTTCCAGGACAGGCAGGGCAATAAAGACCCTGTCTCAACAACAGCAAAAAAATTGGAATATCTTCCTGAAAAAGATGAAGGAAAATAGTCAGAAAGGGGGAGCCAAAGAGAAGGGTAACTGGGTTCAACTGAAGCAGCAGCCTATTCCACCGAAATAAATAGACTTTGTGGGAACTAAGAAAAAATGCCTGAGATGCTGCAGCCTGTTCCCTGTGAGTCATTGCTTGGTGTTAAAAAACAAAAGAAAGAAAAGAAAACCTTGACTGTAAGCAAGAAAACATGGGATAAGGAGCTGAGCTGAGAATTCTCTGAAGAAGACATACAGTCACATTCTTTTAAAGCGTTTAGCCTCCTTAGCTAACTTCTCACTCTGTTCGGAATAGCTGCTATCAACTGACAGCAGATCTGCCGCGGCTGTGAAGAAAGGGAGCCTTTCTTGACTGCTGGGGGAAGGTAGGTCGCTGCAACTCCAATGAAATCAGCCCGGGGTTTTGTTGTTGCGTTTGGTTTTTTGGATTGGATTGGATTGGATTGGATTGGATTGGATGTTGAGACAGAATCTCACTGTGCAGCCTTAGTGGTGGTTTCTGAAATTACTGAAACCTGAACTAGCCTACGACCCAGCCACTTCTGGATATACATCCTGGGAACCTGTACCGTACCACAGAGATCCTGACACCCCCATGTTTACACAATAGCGAAGAAACAGGATCAGTCTAGATGCCCATCCGTAGAGATGGATGTATAACGAGGCTATAGTATAAATACAGTAGAATTTATGGGTCAGGAAATGAAATTCACAGGAAGATGACGTGTTCTCTGTCATACACAGATGGTAACTTCTGACTTTATGTATGTGCAGGCTTCAGCTTCGAGTGTGTCCAGTGGCTCCTCAGCTCCTGTGAGGCAAATGCTTCATCCCGGTGAACAGCTGTGGTTTGGGCTGCAAGACAAATGAGCACTGTGCAAGGTTTACTGACTAAAACCTCAGTTCTAGAAGGACACGGTTGTGCCGAGACGCAGTACATGGGTCTAGTTAGCAACAGTGATGTGCTTAGAAGTAGTAGATAAATGGGGAGCGGAGATTGACGTTCGCATGATACTAACTTTCGTGGGGTTTACTCTAATTTTGCCCTCTGATGATGGATGGCTGAGCCCACTCTTCAAGTACCCTAGAGCTGTATCTTTGATGATGAAACTGTGTTCTCTGAATCATCACTCCTGTAGTCTGTTTTCAATGGGATCGTCTGTGATCGGGGTATGATGGCATGTTGTAATCCTAGCATCTGAATGGCATAGACAAGAAGAGCAGAGTAAGTTGAAGGCCAGCCTGGTCTACGTAATCTAGCCCAGTGATTCTCAACTGTTCTAACGCTGTGACCCTTTAATACAGTTCCTCATGCTGTGGTGACCCCAACAATAAAATTATTTTTGTTGCTACTCCATAGCTGTAATTTCGTTACCGTTACGAATTGTGATGTAAAGATTTTTGGAACTAGAGGTTTGCCGCAGGTTGAGAACCACTGTTCTAGGCCACCCAGGGCTGGAATGTGTTTACCCTGGAGATGACTCACAGTCTTTGACTTTGCTCTCCTACCCCATTAGGCCTACCAATGCACTCACTACAGAGCTAGCTGCTGTACCCACTGGCTGGTCTCTCTCCATCCACCACTGTTTCCACTGTCCGCCTAGATCTACACTGTTTCTGGTATGTAACCTAAGAAAAGCGGGTGACTATCCTCTGGGAAACACGAGGTGCCCCCAGTATGAAGTACTCCCCAGTGTGAAGTACATGAGGGTTCATCTCAAAGTCTCACCTTTAATATTCCACATGGCTTCACTTCCTGTTCCTAATAACCCCACAGTTTCCAACCTCTGAGAGATCAGAAAGGGTGTGTGTGATGACACACACCTTTAATCCTAGGACTCAGGAAACAGGCTCCGAATGTCTGAGAGTTCAAGGCCAGAATGAACTACTTGGCCAGTTCCAAGCCAGTCAGGCCAACATAATGAGACCATCTCAAAAACAAGAACCCTTTTAAGTTCTGGTTATAATAAAGAGAAAATGTGAAGAAAAGGAGAGATGGCTCCGTGGTAAAAGGGAACGTGTTGCTCCTGCAGATGTCCTGGATGCTGTGAGCTCAACGTGCAGGCAAAAATACATAGAATAAATCTAATAAAGTAAATCGGATACAGGGGAAGGGTACTTTTAGCAACATGTAGTATCACAGTCTCTTAGAAAAAGATAAGCGTACAAGTAGTAACGCAAACCCCTGACAGTGTGAGACAGACCTGGACTTTCATTGTATCACATTCGCCTGGCTATGTGGAACTGATGCGCTATGACAGTGGCTTCCCTGTCACTGGAGTGTGGGTGACACTTTCTGAAAGCACAGAAACCACCAGATGAGCCATAGTAAGTACTGGCAAGATTGACCTCCCTAGTGGTGGTGCGCATGCGCATCATCCACGATGGGGGATGTGGTAATGGGCTGAAGGAACCATTATTCAAATCGGAAGTGGCCAAGAATCGTCACATCGGCTCAGATCTTTAGGTAGTTCGCTTCAGCTATCGTTGCCAGGACAGCGTGGGTGTTTGGAGTCCGAACTCTTGGTATCGTGGGTGGCTGCGGGCGGAAGTCGCGGCCCGGAGGGCCGTGCGCACAGCTCTGTGCGGTGCAGTGAGGTGAGTGCCTGCGGGGCAGGGCGGTCGCTGTGCTGCCGAGCGCTGGTTTGTGCCGAGCGAAGGCTGCGGAGGCTGCAGGGGGATGCGTGGGTAAGGTGGGGGCCGTTCGATTCGGTTTCGTTCAGTGCCTGCGGTTTCCGCGTCCTCTGTATTTTGTCACTTCCCAGTGTGCTCTCCTGTGGGAATTCTCACGGTCGTCCGTGAAAATTGTCGTGGCAGGACTCAGTGAGTGTGCGCTGCAGGAGCCGATCCTGGGTGGGAGCCGGGAGCTTCAGGGCGAGCTTGATGCGGTGATTGCCATAGGAGCCCGGCGAGAGGGTTGCTCAGGCAGCGATGGAGCCGTGGGGCCCGGGTGCCCTGCTTTGAGGCAACCGCGCTGCCTTCTGGGCTGCTAGTGTTTGAGTAGCTGGAAACTGGAGCCGGGCTCCTGGTCAAACACTGGCCTGCGAGAGGAGAAAAACTCCAAAGAGTAGGTGAAAACGGGAAAATGATTTTTTTTTTAACCTTTTGGTCCAAAGTGGGTACACAGTTTCCTCCATCTGTGTTTGCTAAGCAGTGTTGACAATAGAGGGAGCTGCACGAGAGAAGGGAGATCCCCGAAGGTATGTCTGATGTCACCTGAGCTGGGACAGAGCCTTGGTGCTGGCCTTGCTGGCCCCAGAGACAGGTGTTCAGGGCATTTCCTTTCCCCGTATTATATTTCCTTTATAGAGGTGGAGTTGTTTTCTTTTTTTTTTTTTTTAAAAAAAGGATTTAAAAAAAAACTAATCCTAATTCAATTCCTATTGTCCATTTACATAACTATTGGGATCCTTTGCAGATGTGAGGCCTGATCGGAGGTTTGGCCTGTGCTTGGGACTGTGGATATGGTAAGAACAGGTGACTAACAGTTCAGCCGATTGGTGCTGTAAAGAGGTTTGGGGGCAGAAGCCTGGGTTTCTGCAGCCTCATCTAGTAAACCTATTGAAGAGACCGGAGAGGACGAAGAGCACAGAAGGGTTGCCTGTGTTCACGCGGTGCCTTTGAACTGCTGGAACAGTTCCAGGGGCTGTGGCGCTCTCCTCTGGCCTCCAGAGCACTGCTTGATTCGATGCACAGATGCGTAGACAGACAACACACACAGAGACATGCGCATGCACGCGTGCGTGCACAATTTTACATTTTTTGAATAAAAAGAATAAAGCTTTTAAATTTTTTTCTCCAAGCTCCCCCCTCCACCCCGTAAACTACTTTTTCCAACTAATCCCCATGTGGTGGTTTAAAAGAAAATGACCCCAAAGCAGTGTCACTATTAAGAGGTGTGGCTTTCTTGGAGTAGATGTGGTCTTGAAGGAAGTGTGTCACTGTAGAGATGGGCTTTGAGGTCTTTTTTTTTTTTCTTTATGCTCAAGCTTCCCTCCATGTGACACTGAGACCACTTCCTGTTGCCTTCTGATCAAAATGTAGCCAGCACCATGTCTGCCTGCACACTATACTACCATCCTCCCCACCATGATGATAATGGACTAAACCACTGAACTGTAAGCAGCCACCTCCATTAAATGTTTTCATCAATAAGAAAGAGTTGCTGTGGTCATGGTGTCTCTTTACAGCAATAGAAACCCTAACTAAGACACCGGCTTCTTTAAAAAAAAAAAATTAAGGGAAAAAAAAAAGCAGAAGATGGTTACATTAAGCAGAAAAGAAGTAAAATGACCCCATGTCTGTCTCTGGTGTTCTGATTTGGAGTCTAGGTTTAGAAATGGTAGTTGTGTGTTACAGTAGCCAAGCAGGCTGTGGTGGCACACTGCTGTCCTGCAGTCTTTCTGAGCGCTGTAGAAGCAGAGGAGAGGATCACTACACGTTGAGAGCCAGGCTGTGGTGGCACACTGCTGTCCTGTGTGTTCCAAGTGTATGCCAAGTCTGTTCCCCTGGAAGTAGGGTTACAGGGGGTTGTGCTCCACACATAGGTGCTGACCCGAGACATCTGCAAGAGCAACAGTCGCTCTTAACCGTGAGCCCCGTTTCTTTTCCTTCCTTCCTTTCACTGGGGTATCCTATGTACCCCAGGCTAGCCTGCGACTCAGTTTGTAGACTAGTCTGAGTCAGCTGTGGTTGTGCGGCCCCTGCCTCTGGAGTGCTGGGGTTGTAGGTCTACAACTGAAGTTTGGTTTAAACTGCACCTGTGCTGAATGAAGGTCCTTCATGGCTGATGAACTGGGAAGTCCTAGAGAGGCTGTAGAGAGGGTGTATATTACAATATGCAGTCTGGCTGTCTTTAGCTGTCTTCTGTCCCCTCAACAGTTAGTCAATATCCACCGATGGCTTTTACCTCACCAGCCCACTAGTTTTCAACACCTGAAAAACTAGGAATGCCATTGGAGAGCATGTGAGGCCTGGTATAGAGATTCTCCCACCTTACTGTAACCTGCCTCTCTGACGGTGCCACCATTTTTTTGTCATTGTTTTGGTGTGTGTGTTATGCATGTGTTTATTTGACTGTGGTTACGTAAATGTGTACAGGTGAGCATGGAAGCCAGAGGATAACATCCAGTCTTTTCCTCAAGGCCTCTCTATCTGACTTTTTGAGACAGGGTCTTTGTTATCTGTGTGTGTGTGTGTGTGTGTGTGTGTGTCTGTGTGTGTGTGTGTCTGTGTATGTGTCTGTGTGTGTCTATGTATGTGTGTGTGTGTGTGTCTGTGTGTGTGTCTCTCTGTGTGTGTGTCTGTGTGTGTGTGTCTGTGTGTGTGTGTGTCTGTGTGTTGTGTGGGCACAATGTAGGACCCTGTACATGCATAGGTCAGAGGACAACTATCAGAAATTAGTTCTTTCTTCTGCCAGGTGCGCCCCAGGCGTCACACTCATGTTGTCAGCCTTGTTGGCAAGCACCTTTACCCTCTAAAGTTCTCAACCTTCCTGATGCTGTGACCTTCAATACAGTTCCTCATGTTGTGGTGACCCCCAGCCATAAAATTATTTCACTGCCGCTTCATAACTAATTTTGCTACTGTTATGAATCATGATGTTAAGTATATGATATGCAAACCCCAAGGGGGTTGCCATCCACATACTGAGCACCATTGCCCCAAGGTATCTTTTGGCTCACACCAATGTACTTTAGAAGTGCTTTGGTTTATGGCTTCATTCTGTTCTCTTACTACAAAAATGCCATGGAACGTGGTATTTGGACAACCTGAATCTGCACTGTCAGGCCATTGGAACACTTGGCTCCAGAATAAATTGTTTCTCCACCCTTCGAAGTGTGAGCTGTTCCTGCGTAGCCGGCCTCCAGGGATGGATGACAGAAGTAGCTTCTCCTAGTTTATTTCAGTGTTGCTTCCAAGCCAGGCTTGGTGGAGCCCACATGCATTCCCTGCACTGCAGGATGAGGCGCGATGATCTGGATATCAAAAGCAACCTCTGTTATATAGCAAGTTCAAGGCCAGCCAGGACTACATGAGACCCTACCTCAAAAAGAAAGAAAACAACATCAATGTTGCTTCCATCCTGGGGTCTGTTATTTGAACCCCTGTGTTATGAGTTTTTTGTGGTTATGTGGAAACAAAGAAATAACACTCTGGCCGGGCAGTGGTGTCGCATGCCTTTAATCCCAGCACTCGGGAGTCAGAGACAGGCAGATCTTTGTGAGTTCGAGGCCAGCTCGGTCTACAAGAACTAGGTCCAGGACAAGCTCCAAAGCTACAGAGAAACCCTGTCTCAAAAAACCAAAAAAAAAAAAAAAAAAAAAAAAAAAAGAAAGAAAGGAAAAAAGGAAAAAAGAAATAACACTCTGAGGGGAAATTATTGCCTATCAAGGTGGCCATAATTTCAGTGTCCTGGGGCATGTCGGTGGCTGGGAAGCAGTCCTGTGGCCAGTCTTTGGAGGTCACTGAAAGGCATTGGTCTGAGTGGCTGCATCAGGAAAGACATGCATCATCAGCCAGAGGGCTGTTGGTACCTGTATGTGACAAGCTGATGGAGCAGTCACTGACCTCAAGGCCATCCTGGAGTATACAGTGAGTTCTCTGTCAGCCTGTGCTGCACAATAGCACACTGGCTCAAATAAAATGGGGCAAAATTAAAAGAAGGAAAGGGTAGGCTTTCAAAATAGAGGTCCTGGTCTCTGTATATGCCTATACATTCTTTGCTCTAGGAGGGAGTTGTGGACATAACTACAGAGATATACCAGAGGAGAACAGGCTGTGCGCTGCATCACTAAGTTTGAATAGTGTCTAGAAACAAGAAAACACAAACTGGGGCACTGTGCCATTTTTGTTTAAGTCAGATATATACCGATCCCCTTCTCTTCTATTTGATGACCTTGGGTCATATTAAGGAATATAGCACAGCTTCATTTGCCTCCTCTTAAAACACCAAGTGTAGGAGTGCCTCTGGCATACAGCTGGAAGAGGGTTTGGGAAATAAGCTGATAACTAGCTGATATTTCTTCATCTTGTGAACTGCCCAGCTGAAGAGCTTCATCCTGCATCAAATTCCCACTGTCAGTGGCAACACCTCATCTTTGCTTTACATCACCTTCCTTAATACCTTTCTGTGGTCACAGTTAAGAGGTGAGGGAAGAACTGGACATTTCTGGGCTTTTTTTGCTCTGGGCAAATGTTGGGTGAGTGATGATATGGTCATGAACTTTCCGGGGTTTTCTGGTATCTTTCCAAACCTCTAGGTGAGGCTGATCACTGCACCGCAACTCTACGTGGATCCCCCACATGCCGAAGTATCTTCAGAATCCTGAGAAAATCAGAGGCAGACCAAGAGTAGAAGCCGCAAAGAACATGCCTACTGACACGAGTTTCTGCCAGATGCCCCAGAGGTTAGGAGCAGAAGAGCAGAATGGATTGTGTGAGGTGAGGAGAGATGCCCCAGGTTCCGCTTTTCACAGCTAGATTGCAGAAGGTAAAAGCAGCAGATTGGGTTCCTGTCCCGGAGACTGAAACTCGGAGGATGAAACCTCATCATTCCTTCATCTTGTCATTGGATGCTCACTGGGCTACTTCTTAGGGTTAGGTTTATCTGCCCATCTATGACTTCCTGGTGAGTCTATTTCTGTTCAACCCAGAGGACTGACAAAACAAAAAAGTAGGTAAATCCAAGTCTAGCTTAGCTTGGTAAACCAGAGAGTTTTTTGTGTTTATTAATCATGGTGGCTGTATGAAGTGCAGCCTTCAGAGGCACGGGGCACTTAGACAGCCGCGCCATCACCACCTGTCACCTCCTTCCCCACTGTCTGCCCAGCTTACACATTTATATAACATGAAGGAATGGTGTCATGAACCTCCCTTCCTGCAGGAGGGAATGTTTCAATTCCAAACTAACACCTAGCAGCGTGGTCTTCACACCACATGTATTCAGATCCCTGAGCCTTTGACTTTCTCTCCCACTTCATAGTTACACATTGGCTTCTCAAAGCTCAGTACCTTAATTTTTTTTAATTATATTATTTTGTGTGTATGAATGTTTTGCCTGCTTGTATACCTGTGTTCCTATGTGCGTACAATAAGTACCCATGGTGGCCAAAAGAGGGCATCGGATCCTAGAACTGGAGTTCTAGCTAGTTGTAAGCTACAATGTGAGTGTTGGGAACTGAACCCAGATCCCTGGAAGCCAGCACTCTTATCTGCTGAGCCCTTTCTTTAGCCTAAACCTGAGCATTTTAAAATAGTAATTCAGATATGTTGAGCTAAGTTAAGTATGCTGTTAAGATGATTCCATCTGTTTGTAGTTAATATGGCTACTGGAAATTTTGAGATGACTTGTGGCTGCCATTTTATCTGCATTGGAGATTGCTGTCTGGAGAAGGATCAGACTCCAATTTTATTTTATTCTTGTAAGAACATTTCACAGAGGAAACATGCCTGCACTATTGTATCCTGCCAGGTTCATATCATGCTGGTGACACCTCTTCTGTGATACTAAAGTCACTGGGTTCAGGGGTCATCAGCCCCAAATCCTACTTCGTGTAGCTCTGCAGTGCTTCTCTGTGTGGCTGTGGCGCAGCAGCCATGGTGGAGGAGGAGGAGTGGTGGTGCCGCGGTGCCCGCCCTTCTGGCTGCTTCTGCATCTTCAGGGCTGCTGACGGCAGACCCTTCCAGCACCACATCAGAATGACACAGATTGGGTGCAATAGGAAGACCAGCCTGATAAATGGGAAGATCTGTATTCCCTGCAGTTAATTATTTAAGTGACAGTCCATGACTCTAAATTGAAAAGCCCAAACCCTTTTCACCCACCTCTGACCCACCCCAGAGTACCTCCCTGTGTGTCTCTGGGTGACAGCCACTTTTCAGACATTATGGATGTTACTGTCTCCTCCTCCTCCTCCCTGAAACCGTGGCTTTTGCTCGTTCTAGTTCTCTTCTAGAATAAGTGTTCTCTATATTCAATTCATACTTTTCACTTCCAGTTCATGCTGCTGTACTGTGATTAGCATGACAGCCATTTCCAGCTGTGTGCCTAATTTGCCCTTTCCAGCAGTTTGTGTTGGGAGCTGCAGACCCTCAGACCCTGAACTTTGTATGACCTCTTGCCTGCTGGAGTAAACAACTCGTTTTTCTATGCTTGCAGCTGCTCTGAGCACAGAACCCTCATGAGTTCCTGATAACAAGGAAGTAGTTTCTGATGGACTTGCAGTGGAAATTCCCCAGAGCTAGGGCTTGGCCATTATTCAAGGAGAGCACTATATAAACTATCTGGGAACATAATAAAATCGGCATTCTTGCTTCAAGAGTGACCCAAGTCTCTGTGTGTTCTTTAATCCCCAGACCCTTGCGCAACCACAGTTCCAGGTGGTGCAGGCACCACAAGTTTGCTTTGTATATATTTCTAAAAGTGTTCCTTTATAGCCTTATATATGGGTCTTTATGCCTGCAAATTTGCAAGACTGAGTTTCTCTGAGAGTACAAACTCATACACAGTGTTAAATCTCGGAACCCAAGACAGCTATAGACAAGTACAGGTCCAGTGGGGCTTAATAACTGTCGTGCTGTTTAATCTTTGGTAGAGAATGAAAAAGAATCCATTTCTGGCCTCCTAGGGAGGGAATGATACTATTTAATTTGTGGCCAGTTATTTTTTTTTATATATTTTTCTTTATGTCCCAAAATACAAGGGGAAATAGGTATTTTGTGGAACACTTAAAGTTTAACCTGGAAGGAAGGGGTCACTGGAAACACATGTCTTATTTGTCAGTGATAATTCACAATGAGTAAATTATTATAGAGATTGGTGTCCTTTGAGGATGTGACTGTGGACTTCAGCCAGGAAGAGTGGCAGCACCTGGACTCCGCCCAGCGACGCCTGTACCAGGACGTGATGCTGGAGATCTACAGCCACCTCTTGGCAGTGGGTGAGCACAGCTGGCCGGGGATCCAGGGTGGGCCTACTTTCCGTATTTCTCTTTTCCAAACATAGTGGGATACCAAGTCTTTTATGAATTTTTTCCCTTTTATCTTGATAAAATATCCTCTTTGGATATTGCCATGTGTTGTTTTGTGCTGCCAGTAGTGAGTTTGATTCGTGGAGCCTGCATGGTAAAAGGCAAGGCCGACTCCCACGAGCTGTCCTTTGACCTCCACATACACGCCATGGTGTGTGCAGCACCTGCAAGTGCGCACGCACACACACACACAGTGTAAATGCGGGTGTGGGCATATATTAAGATTGTATGGGCACGGGTATTTCACCTTCCTATCTGTTTATGCACCGTGTGTTGTGCAGTGCCTGTGGAAACCAGAAGGTGTCAGATTCCTTGGAACTGTAGTGGTAATTCAGTTGCCATGTGGGTGCTGGGAACCAAATCTGGGTCATCAACAAGTGTTCTTAACCACTGAACCATCTGTCCAGCCCTACCTTCTCTGTGCATATATGTATGTGTGTATTTTTTTTATTATAATAAAGAATAACTATTTGAAGGTGTAGGTTTATTGCTCAGGGTGGAATACTTGTGTTTAGCATGGGTGAGGCTCTGCTTTAATCCTCACTACCATAATAAAGAAAAAGAAACCTAACCAAAAACCAGATGAGAAAAGGACATGAATATGTATTTCTCCAGAGCTAATGAAGTCTTCTCGGCAGCCTGTTCTTTAGGTCTTAGCTGTCTGCCGCCAATGCCTTGTCAAAATCCTTCCTATTTACTACATCTGTATGGCTAGGGCTCTTATATGTTGAGCTGGGTATCTTTGCCCAAACCAAATCTTCTTCCCACAAATCAGCTAAGTGATTTTGCTCACTTACTATAGCTCCCAATTTCTCACATATAAAACAAGAGAGTAGATGTGGCTATTTTGGGGATTGAGTTCGTGCGTCCAGTGCATACAAGGTTGCCTAGTACACATGGGTGCTGTATTCATGAAGTTTGGTATGTAATAAGGGTATCATAGTTATCTTACCGTGGTCATCCACGTGATGAGCATGACTACTGCCTGACTCAGATTGCTCAGTGTTCAGATTCAGTTCCATGTGGTCGCCCCTCCGTCCTGTCCACTGTGCCTGTTCATCGCTTTCTCTTCTCTCCAGGTGAACTGCAGCTTGATACACCACATCAACCAGTTTTTGTGAAAGCGTCATTTCTGAATGATGCACCCAGTGAAATCCCAGGACATGGTTCATATTGTACCGTTCTGGAGAGACTGTGGCAGGACGGCAGCAGTGTTGTGAAGACACATCAGCAAAGCCAGGTCCCACCCGTCAGCCCTGGTGCTTGCCGAAACCAGAAGCCACTGAACACAGACAGTGATGGGGACTCTGGAGAAGCTGGAGAATCTCTTCTCTCGGGACGCCACCTCGTTTCTACAAAATGTGCACCTCTAAGGTGTTTCTCATTTGCAAAAAGGTTGAAACCTAACCTTGAAGCATATAATGACGATCAAAGCAATGCCACAAAACAGGCTAGTGACGTTATTGGATCTCATCAGTTTTTAACGCAAGGCTCTTCTAACTGTGTGTGTACAGTACCTCTTCAGAGAGAGAGATCATACAATGACAGTCAGCTTGGAAACAGTCTTTCTCCCAATCCACCACTTACAGAGCATGGGATTCCTTTCCAAGACAAAGCAGTTGAATATCCTGGATGCGGGAAAGTCCTCACTGATGAGTCGGCTTTCTGTCAACAACAAATAACCAACAATATGGAGACATCTTTCATCTGTCACACATGTGGGAAGACCTTTCTCCACAAGTCTCAATTGGTCTCCCATCCAGAAACTCATAGAGAAGAGACACCTTATGAATGTCCTGACTGTGCAAAATCCCTGAGGGGTATGTCCAGCCTGCACGTGCACCGGGAAGTCCACACAAAGGAGAAACGGTATGAATGCCACGTGTGTGGGAAGTCATTCAGCTATACATCCCACCTAAAGGTGCACCTTCGAACACACACTGGTGAGAAACCCTACGCATGTTCTGAGTGTGGGAAAGCCTTCAGCCAAAAGTCAGTCCTCACCATCCATCAGAGAATCCACACTGGGGAGAAGCCTTACACGTGCAGTGACTGTGGGAAAATGTTTGTTTGTGCATCAGATCTGACAAAGCATTGTCGGTTTCACACAGGGGAAAAGCCTTATGAATGCCCCGACTGTGGGAAATCTTTCAGTATTAAGTCTAACCTGCTTGCCCATCATCGAATCCACACCAGTGAGGGGCCTTACAAATGCTTTGACTGTGGGGAGTCATTCAGGAAAATATCCCAACTGAAGGTACATCATCAGATTCACACGGATGGTAGATCTTTTGTGTGTTCTGACTGTGGAATGGCCTTCAGCCAGAAGTCAGTTCTTATCACACATCAGAGAATTCACACTGGGGACAAATGTTACCCATGCGGTGACTGTGGGAAGTTGTTTCTTTATGCTTCCGATCTGAAGAAGCACTGTCGAGTCCACACAGGGGAGAAGCCTTACAAATGCCATGACTGTGGGAAATCGTACAGTGTGAAATCACATCTCCATGTGCACCATCGAATTCACACTGGTGAGAGACCTTTCAAATGTGATGACTGTGGAAAATCCTTCAGAAGAAACTCTCACCTGCAAATGCATCAGCAGACTCACACTGGTGAGAAGCCGTACAAGTGCTCTGACTGTGGGAAGTCCTTCCGGAGAGCATCCCACCTGAAGGTGCATCATCGAATTCACACCGGGGAGAAACCTTACGTGTGTTCTGAGTGTGGGAAGGCCTTCAATGATAGGTCAGTTCTCAGCACACATCAGAGAATTCATACTGGAGAAAAACCCTACATATGCAGCGACTGTGGGAAAGCCATGTCTTCTAAAGCCAACCTCAAAGAGCATCAACGAATTCACACAGGCGAGAAGCCATATGTGTGTGCTGAATGTGGGCGGGCCTTCAGTGATAAGTCTTCTTTCTATAGACACTGTAAAATTCACAGTAAGGATAGACCTTTTGTCCATAACAAAGGTGAAAAGGGATTCCTGCAGAACTCACAAGTGACCACCTATGAGCAAACTCACAGTGCAGAGAAACTGTAGTGACACTCTGTCTATGGGGAATCTGCTAAAGGGGTATCGTCAAGGTCACACATACTCCCATTACTGAAGCTGTGGGATGCTATTGGTGCACTAGCCACACCGTACTGGGAAGAGACATTATTCGTGTTGCGAATGTAGAGAGTCCTTCAAAATCATGTATTTCAGTAGACTCAAGTGCTCGTACAGACAGTCTTCCTCAAGACACCTGATCATATAAAAGGATTTATTGTAGTCAGTTCCTCATCCATAGCCCTCATCAAAATATTCTTGATTTTCATGAAAAAATATTTTATCACAGACCTAAGTAGGACTAGGGAGATATCACATTCAGTTGGTAAATTCTTTGTCTTCTGGATACCAGAGGCACACACATACACACATACATTCCATGGGTAACTACACACAATACATACACAACCCTAACTATACAAGCCATAGGTCATAGTTTAAAAAGAGTACAGCTATGCATTGCTTGATTAAACATATAAATAATTATATGTGAGAGAAGTATTAATGAACTTGTAGGAAGAAGCACAAATGTTTCCTTGCATGAAGAAATGCTGATTAATGATGTGAGGTAAACCTTCTATAGGTAATGGTACAAAGTTTCTAGACCACAGGAAAGTTTGTTGGAAATTACATCAATGGTTTCTCTGTTTATTGTGGGATACCATTTTTTTTTTTCAGACAGGGTCACACTATGTACTTCAGGCTGTCCTGGAACTCACTCTACAGACTAACTCACTGAGATCCGCCTACCTCTGCCGCACAAGTACTGGGATTAAAAGTGTGCACTACTACACCTGGATGGATAATAATATTTTTAAATGTCAAAAACATTTTTCATCTGTGTCTAGGAAGGATACGGATCCTGGACTTGTCCATAGCATGGTGGCTGGCAGACAAAGTGACCACTTTTGACTTCCAAGGCCTTTCAGTGGATTCTCACAACCATGTCCAGTCTCAGGGACCTGGAGACCATCACCTTCAGGGTGCTAAGAGATACAAGATCTCAGAATGTTCATGAGCCCATGCTAGCGCCTCCCCAGTGCTGGTGTGAGTGATGCTCCTCCGTAACTTCGATTCTTCCAGAACCTCGGGGTGTGGCCTTGTGGGCATGGCTTCTTTGTAGAGGTAACTTAGGTGCAGACATACGTGGCCAGACTTGGTCCTAAATCTGATGAGTATCATTCTTTGAGAAAGTCATGAAGACTCAAGAATTTTGAAAGATGGGACTATGGAGGCAGCGGTTTTGGTGACCTATCTCCAAGCCATGGGATTGTCAGCAACAGAAGCTAGAAAAACTTTCTTGGGAGTTTCTAAAATTAGCCATCCCTTGGCCAGTGCCTTGATTTCCAAATTCAGGTCTCAAACATGGTGAGAAAATCAGTTCCTGTTGTTTTGCCACCTATTCTAAAACAATCTAGGAAAATCAAAGTTGTGTAGAAAGCTCTGGGAGGCCCACATATACTCAAGGCCTGCCTTCCTGACTGCCTGTCCACCAGATACATTTCTGTCTGTCTTTCAAAGCAGGGTTTCTCTCTGTAATGGCCCTAGCTGTCCTAGAACTCACTCTGTAGACTGGTCCGACCTCGAACTCCCAGAGATCCGCCTGCCTCTGCCTCCCAAGTGCTGGGATTAAAGGCGTGCGCCATCGCCACCCAGTTTTTTCTTTAGTCATTTCTTTTACGGTTCCTGAATTTCCTGTGCCTCTTTGTCCTCACTCTGGTTCCCATGTTTTTAACTCCTTTCACTAAGCTTATCCAATGTTACTATCTTCCTATGGAACTCTTAACCTACCAGATGTCTATTCTTTATGGTTATCAAACCACCTGTGTCCCTCATTATCTCACTGAGGCCCTCTAGACATGAATATTTCTTATTATGTTAAACCATGTGTTTCTTGTTTATTTCAGCTTTGTCTGTTTCTTTAAGACTGGGCCTCATAGAATCTAGCCTAGAATCTGATTTACTTTATAGTAAAGGATGGCCATGAAATCTTGAGTCTTCTGCTTCCACCTCCCAAGTACTGGGATTACAGGGTGTGCTACTACCTTGGCCAGATAGTATATTTACAAAAGACTTTCAATATATTGTCTCCCACCCAACATGTACACAGTGTAAATCTGACTACCCTGTTGAAAGGTGTGTCTGTCCCTACTCTCTCCAAGTTCAATAGGATTTTATCCTAGTTTCAATGGGTAGAATAACAACAGAAGTAACATGATGTTTGAGGCCACACTAAAAGCAGCAGAGCATCAGTATTGCTTATCTGAATGCTTGTTCTTGAAGTCTTCCTCTGTCATTTAGTGATTCAGGTCATGTTGAGGCCAGTATACTATAAAAAAAAAAAATTGAGTCAATGTAGAGAGGCCCAGAGATTAACATTAAAGACATGAAGATTGATCCAGGACATCATTCTAGGGGAGTCTTATCAGCTGTATGCAAAACTAATACCATATCACAGTCACTCAGATAATCCTTCCTAAGTCCCTTACTTAACATAAACCTTGAAAGGTAACAGCAACTCTAGAACAAAAGATTCGCCTTGGTTTGTTGTGTTTCAGCAACAAGTAACCAGAATATTCTCCCTCGTCTGCACCAACCATGCCTATTCCTCTGTGTTGTGTTCCTCATGGATTTTGACAAGGCTCTAACTTCAAGGAGTGGGTTAGAGGTGGAAAAGGCACGCAAGTTTAGTGCCTTGTGACGTGATGGGGCAATGGGCAGTTGGGCAACTCCTTACTAACGTCCGCGGGTTAGGTCTAGCTGAAAATGGGTTAGGCATTCCAGGGGAATTCCTGCCCAGCAATGCCAGTGCTCATCTTTGGCCTACCTTCTGTTAGGAGGTGTATAAAGGAAGTAAAGTCTCTGTTAGAAGAATGCATAGACAAGTACCATGTACACCCAGAAATGACACAGGACACCTGTGCTGCTACATCCTGGAAAGTGTCAGAGAAGCTCATCCTCCCTGTTGCATATATCACTCAGTTTAGTCCGCCCTGTGAGAGACCCACACCCAGCCCTTGAAGACATCACAGAGATGAGGCCAGAGTGAAAACAGCCCAAGATGCTCAGTGCAACACTGTAAACTGCCTACCGGTGTATGTCCGGCATGTTGTTTTCCACCCTGGCCCTCTCCAGACCCTCAGTAATTACCTTTCCTAGTAAACAACTCAACATGAATTCTGATGTGTAAAGCAGGAATTATGGCCATCAGCCATGCTGGGTCATAGTACTAGAACATTCATCATGCATAGGCTAGGCTGTGACACCTGTTCAGCATTGAATCTGGCATGAAAGCATCCCATGACACTTGTGCTGAATGTGAATGCCCACTCATCCCACCTCCAGTGGTGGTCCTATCACTCAGCTACTCCCCCATGCACACTGTCATCTATAATGGATGTGTCTGTCTACAACCTTCTATCAGAATAAACACTTGCTGAGGGAGGGCTGAGGACTCACTTGTATCTCTAAGAACCCAGGACCCAGCTTCAGCTTCTCCAAACAAGCTCTTCATCTTAGAGCAGCATTCAGTGGGGAAGATGAAACAGCTCAGGAAGCAGACCTTGATGGCCACCACAATTTCATCTGCTCTAGTGGTCTGGTTTCCCTGTAGATATGGGTGAGTCTGATCAACTGCTAGCTGTAACCTGAAATCTTTCTCTTAACATCAGAATTTGGAGATTGTGTGTGTGTGTGTGTGTGTGTGTGTGTGTGTGTGTGTGTAGAGAGAGAGAGGAGGGAGGGAGGGAAAGAGAGAAAGAGAGTTCTCCAGACCTTCCTTTATCTCACCAGCTCAAATGTCACCCAACCTGAAGTCCAACTACTACACAATTACAGAAAAAGGAATTCTCACTTTTTATGCTTAACACTGGTGTCTCGTGGTTAATACTCAGTATAAAAAGCAAAACAACAAAACCGAAGTGTTTGTACTGCACTCAGTAGGCATAATCATACCTCTTTGATATCCATCAAGAATTGTTGACACATCATGAACAACATGGCCATGATTCTCAGAATGACACATGATCCAGCTATGTCTTGCATTTAGAAATTGACCTAAAAGATATACACACATAATAAAATACAAGATAATTGACTGCACATTTCTTTAGGAGAAATCAGTTGTAACTGCCCATTAGTACAAGATTGCCACACACTTGGGGCCCATTAATACACTGAGTTTCTTGGTCATGGGAAACAGGGACAATCGGTGCTACAAACATCCAGCCTCACCTTTGACTCTCCAGTGAACAAACACAGAATCAGGATAAGTTGTACAGAAATGGGTCACTTTGGGAGAGAATGAGCCAAACACGAAGTCTTCTGAATGCTGACCATGTGATTCTGTCTCCCAGAACAATCATTTAAGCTATTGAGTAATAAAGATCTAAGACTGGGGCCGACTCAGATGGGTCAGAATGGCCTGAAACATGTAGTTTTTATGTGTGTGCCTCTGGTGGCTGTCATCCAGGGGGGTGACACGCAGAGACAGATGACCTGGCAGCTCACATGTCTACAAATGGTGACATTAGTTATGAATCAAGGTTACTCTGTCTCCAGGGTTAATGGAGGGTGAAAAGTGACCATTTGGACAGGAGGGAATAGGCCTGGCTCCTTAGGTCAGGAGGAATCCCTTCTACCTCCGCCTGCTCCTCTTGAGATATAGATTTGGGGATTCTATATGGCATCTTGAAGAATAGAGAATTCCCATCATTAGGAAAAGATGAGAAGGAAGTGTACACTACCACTCCACACACAAACGCAGAGGGATAGGACATGGACCCTGTTCTGTCCCCTCAGCTGCACCTCCAGGAAATAGACACCTTCAGTTCGCAGCACTGGTTCCCCTTTCTCTCCCAACCTCAGGCACTCAGTGTCATGACCTCACACAAGCGTGTCTGACAATTCTGTCTGTGGTTGCACTGGTCCCAGGAGAGGTCACTAGGCAGATAATCTGGTGTCATGGTTCTAATTCGTGGTGAACATCATCACTAAGAGCTGGATGGTTTTTAGGGCCCAGGTAAGGTAGCTGCCATCCAGAATGTTAGGTTGTCCCTGGCTCACAGATACAGCACAAGGGAGGTTGGGATACTGGCACAGCTGGGCTCTTAGCTTCTCCAGGATGTGGGTGTCAGGTTCTGTGTCCATCCAAGGAAGAGAAGCAAAGGTAAAAGCCCTTGTATGTAACAAATGTGCCCTAAAATTCAGTGTATGCCTAAGCCAACTGTCTTCTGCCAGTCTGGCTAGTCTCCTCTGGCCCTGCCCTGGCAATCCTTGGGACCCCACTTATGACCTTATTATTTGCTCACTATGCACACAGTGCTAGTTCTCCTAATTTGTCATGAAAGGGCCTTCCTCTTACGTACCTTTTCCATGCTCACATGAGACAGGGGCTTCCCTGAAGAGGTGGAGTTGGCCTCTTGATTGATCTTTGTTAGATGTAACCCCAGGAATGGTGCAGTCTGGCCCTATCCTGAGTCCACTAGCCACAGATGAATCATGGAAGCAGTGAGGGGTGGGACAGAGCAAACTGCATGGCATGAAGAGTCACAGACCCTTTGTGTAGTCACTTAGGTTGACACCTTTGGGGACTAAGCTAGCCGGGTGGCCGGGAAGAACAAGCGACTTTTTTTCCTACAAATTGATGCCCACGAGGCCAACTAAATCCACTTAAAAACATAAAGAAGGTTGAAAAGGAACTCTAGATACAGAAAAACAAAGTTTAGCCTCTTTTTTGGGTGGGGGAGGCTGGTGGCGTGCTGCAGATCCTTTAGGAGAGGTTTTCCTGATTCAGCCGTAGCAGGAAAAAAGCCATGCGGTCCACAGCATCTGCATCAGCTCCTGCCTCCAGGATCCTGCCTTGTTTGAGTTCCTGTCCTGACATCCTTCAATGACGAACAGCAGCAATAGGGAAGTGTAAGCCAAATAAACCCTCTCCTCCCCAACTTTCTCTTGGGTCATGGCATTTGATCACAGAGATAGAAACCCTAAGATGGTTTTCAAGTAGTTTAAATAGAAAAAAGACTGCCCAAACCTTTTTTGCTTTTTCCTTGGATTTCCCAACTTTCTGCCCTGCCTCAACTTGATATGCCAGACTTTATTGACTCCCCATGGGATGCCTTACCCTTTCTGAGGAATAGATGAGGGATTGTGTGGGAAGAAGGTGGGAGGGAGCAAGAGGAGGGGAAGACGGGGGGACTGTGGCTGGTATGTAAAATTTAAAAACACAATTTTAAATAAAAAATTAAAAAATAAATAGAAAAAAGAATTTTTCTTAATGCCACTCAATAAACTTGTCCTGCATAAAGCAAGTCAAGCAACCTATCATGTTGTAAAACTATTTGAGCTAATAAATCTACCTGTTAGTAGTTTTTGGTCTATTGGGTTTTAACAGATACTTTTCCTGGTATGACAATAGGCATATAGGTGGCCATTTTGCCCTATGCAAGGGAATTTCCTTTTGAACTAACATCCCGATCTTTTGTAGAGAACGAGGGGTGATGTGCTTTCTTCTGTAACTACTTCTTGCTGAAATTAGGACATTGTTGTCTGGGCCCAGGAAGGATGGAATGCTAGACAAAGGCCGGGAGGACATTCAGGTAATGGGGCACTCATCAGAAGCATTTGATTAGCTGACCCAGCTGAAGACACATTGGCTGGACTGGTTTATATCAGCATTCAGCAAGTCCAGGGCTTGGAGCCATTTGGAGAAGTTTGTAGCCCACAGCTGATTTCTGGTTAGGATCTGTCAACTGAGTGGAAATCTACTAAAACAGATATAGACTAAGGACAGAAGTTAAAGTTTAGGAATCTAAAGGAAAATCTTACCTTTGGAACTTTCAGGCCCATGGTCCTGTTAGTTGAGGAGAAGTCCCAAGCCTAG